CTACCACCAATGACTGCCCTGACAGGGAACACAACAGAAAGTCCCTGATGGAGTGGGGAAAGGTGGGATGCAGAACTCAAATTCTAGCAAAAAGATCAGACTTAATAGTCTGACTGACACTGGAGAAACCCCAGAAAGCATGGCCCCCAGACTGTCTGTCAGCCCAGAACTAAAACAATTTCTGAGGCCAACTCTTCAGACAAAGAATGGACTGGACTGTGGGACATAAAATGATACTCGTGAAGAGTGTGCTTCTTAGCTCAAGTAAATACGTGAGACTAAATGGGCAGCTCCTGTACAGAGATCAGATGGGAAGGTAGAGAGGGTCAGGAGCTGGTTGAATGGACACGGGAAATCAGGGGTGAAAGGAGAAGTGTGCTGTCACGGTATAGGGAGAGCAGCTAGGGTCACATAACAATGTATGTATAAACTTTTGTATGAGAGACTAACTTGAATTGTAAACTTTCACTTTAACTACAACAATAAACAAACAAACAAAAAAGAAATGTTTGGCAGGGATCCTTGAAGCATTTCTCCCACTTGCAGAATGCGGAAGGACTGCCATGTGGGCCAGCACAGCGGCGGCAACATTGAAGACGTGGATGGAGCCAGGGCGCCATCCACAGGCCACGCCACAGGTGGAGAGAGCCAGGAGAGCAGTGCAGAGCTGCCCAGGAAGGATGGGCACCATGATGAGGTCTCGAGGACAGGTGGGTTCAAGGAAGGCTCGGTGCTCATAAAGGCTCACGTGGTTCTGGGACCAACCCTCTGAGAGCTCCTATTGGGCCAGAGAATGGCTGAGATTCTCGGAGATCCTCTCCGGAAAGACCTCTGTCAGCTTCAGCTCTGATAATTTATCCATCTGTTTATTAGCTTGGAGTCTCTGGGTGGTGCAAACAGTTAATGCTAACACACTCAGCTGCTAACTGAAAGGTTGGTGATTTGAAAACAGCCAGAAGCACCTCGGAAGAAAGGCCTGGTGGTCTCTTTCTGAAAAATCAGCCACTGAAAAAACCTATGGAGCACAGTTCTACTCTGACACATATGGGGTTGCCATGGTTGGTTTTCTGTTAGCTTGGGCAGCCACCCAACTGTCTTGTCTGGCCATCTGTCCAGGGATCAGTCCATTCCATCCATCTCTCACTCACTCCAGAACCCCGTGATTGTGTGCCTGTGCCTTGCTCTGTGACAGCTGTTGATGAGCACCATAGTTTGCTCTTTCTGAGAGTTACTCACTCCCGCGCATCTCCAAGTGTGTGGTGTGCACGAACTTCTCTGCCCCTTCTCCTGCTTTTCCGAGTTCTTACCTTCCTCCACTGTGCTTGATATTTCAGAGGACAGGAACGAGGTGAGAAGGGTGCCAGCAGATGGGAATGTAGGAGGTGGATGGGCCAAGGTTGGGCTGCGTTTAGTGTTTAAAGTCGTGTTTAAACTAATGCCCAACTAGCTGGGCTTGACCAGATGGATGCAGATCCGCAGCCACATTGCTGGTGCTGCTCCAGGAGGTGGCGAGGCGGGTTAGGAAAGGAGACCCTGAGGGTTGGCAGAGATGAGCCTCTCGTGATTGCAGGAGACAGATGCTCTACCTGTTCCTGCTGGCAGGCAGGCCATTGGTTTTGACCTTTAGAACCTGTTAATCATATCACTTTTGGGATCAGTTCTTCCTCAACATCCAGAAGCATTTATTAAACACCTCTGTGTGTATTCTCCCCCTGCCAGCTCTGCACCAAATGAATGAAACGAAACAGTACCTGCCTTCTGGGAGTGCTCAGAGCAAGGCAAAGGATTTAAATGAAGTAGTAAGGATTTATAGAAACATAGGCTAGACAGATAAGTAGGTAGGTGAGTAGTTAGATAAGTAGGTAGGTAAGTAAATAGACATTAGCTGCTCAGAAGGGAACAAAAGGCTCCCCACCCCCACCCCGCCCCATCCCAGCCTAATGCCCTCTGCCCAGAACCCTGAGCAGAGCACCTGCCCAGCCCCTCCAGCCCTGTGGCTGGCTCTCAGGCAGGGTGTTTCTCATTGTTCAGGTAAATGTATTATCGCTTGAAAATGTAAGTTTCAAAATCACTCAAGTGATTTTCCAGATGGGAAAATGCAAGGTAGCTTCCAAGGGGAGAAATACCTAAATGTTGGCTATATGCTAGTGCTGTCCAGGTGACTTATCAACTGGCAGGGGTGGTAGGTAAGAGCCGCCACAGGAGTGCTGAGACAGAAGCTAGGCAGGCAGGCGGCTGGGCGAGGGTCCGATGGAGCAAAACGCCTTCTTCCCCTCTCAGTGCATGAACCAGTGCCAGCGACTGGCCTTGGCCTCTGCCTGGAACAAGCTGGTGTCCTTCCTCTTCTCGAATCTGAATGCCTCAGACAGCAACTCTTCTTCCCATTTACAGCTGGAGACATGAGGCTGTGGGCTGATGTCAGAGTAGAATCTTCCAGAGCCCAAGATTCATTATTGCTTCTTAAAACTGCCATACCAAGGCCACTCTTGGCTTTCTGCTTTTTACAAGTTAGCAAGTCATGCCTGGCCCTGTGCTCTCTGCCCTCACCACCAGTCAGCCCTGCCTGCAGCCCGAGTCACCCCCAGCTCTGAGACGCATCCTTCTGCTCAGGGGACTTCACAAAGCCGCTGGCACCTGCAGCTTTGAAGCAAACCGGCTTTGCTATTGCTTGTGCTGTTTCTGTGCCCACAGTTTATTTTGGTGCATCCTTGCTGCAGTAATAATAATTAATGATAGGTAGCGTTTCTCAAGGGTTTACTGGGCACCAAACTGTCCGAGTACTTTGCATGTGAAAATTCACTTGATCCTCACCTTGACTCTCAGCTACGCACTTTCATCGTCCTCATTTTGCAGATGAGGAAACTGGCATAGAGAAGTTAAGTAACACCCAAGTCACCCGGCTAGTAAGTGGCCGATCTAGGTGGAGCCCAAGCAGGATAGCCCCAGACCCTGTGTCCTCAGCACCATGCACTTCCGCTACCCAGGCCCTGGGGCCTCAGCAGTCCTGACCTGGGAATCCACTGATGGAAACCACAGTTTACTGAACACCTACTACACCGTGCCACCTCTCAGAGCTCCGTCTGTGTTGCTGGTACCGTCCCCGGTTTTCTTGTCCTCTGGCAAAGGGCTCCGCTTACAACTGATTCTCCTTCTGCCCCTACCACCCCCCGCCAGATCTGATACCAGTTCTTCCCCAAGCAGGGGCCCCAAAGCACTGTGCACGGGGCCGCAGGCCAGGGCAGTGGTTCTCCCCAGCAGGTGGAGGGGGGAGGGGGTGTCCACAGGCCCCCCTGTGCTCCGTTAGCTGGCATGCCTGGGCAGGAGGGCACCCCAGGAAAGCTCTCCTGAGACTCGGGCACTCCCAGCAGAGGGTCAGACAGTTGGCAGGGAGAAGGGGAGTGGGACCAGCACGCCACTCCCCTCCCCACTTGCAACAAAGGAAAAACTTTCTCTCTTTCTCTCTCTGGCTTCTTGTGTGGCACACAGTCATAAGTCTCTTCACACAGCAGCCAGAGTGATTTTATTGTAACCTAAGTCAGTCCATGTCATTCTCTTACGGCTTTCCACCTCACTAAGAATGAGCCCTTGCCACCCCTCTGGGGTTCCAGCCCCCGCTGGCTGGACACCCCCTCTGACCGCGCTCCCTCTGCTCCAGTTGCTTTGCCCGCTGGCCCCTTGCAGTTCTGCAGCCTGGTCAAGCTCACCCTTCTCGAGCCCTCTGCACTGCTGCTTCTTGGCCTCTGCACCGCCAACATCGGCACAGCCCATTTGCTCATGCTTTCAGGTCTGATGGAGAGTCACCTTAGCAGAGGGCCCCTGGCCCACCTCTACATGGCTGTCCCCTACCACTCTGTCTTCTTCCCCGGCTTTATTACCTTCCTACTACCAGTCACCAGCTGGCACACATCTGATTCTGATGAGACTCCTCCCACTAGAGTAGGCACTTTGTTTTCTCATGGCCCTGCTCCTAGGACAGTGCCTGGCACACACTGGTGTTCCGTCAGGCCGGTGCTAACTTGTGCAGGGCCTGGGACATGAGTACATTGGGGGCCATCTTACATGGCAGGTGGCTCGCAGGCACAGGTGTGGACAATCTGTGCTACGCGTCCATGTTCCAACCACACCTTGCAAACAGCTACCCCGTGCTGACTCCCTAGGTCCTGGGGAGTGTGTGGGAGCAGGCGGCACATTCCTTGTCTCTGTGGATTCCTTGCCCTGTGGGGAGAGGCGGCTGAAGGATGCCAGGGGGAGACCTCTGCAGTGCAGGCCAGTTCCGCACAGGCCTAAGGGCGGCCCTGTGCTTAGTAGATATTGGCTGAATGAATGAGTCATGGTGGTTCCCCCTGAACGCAGAGAGCTAAACTAGTGGTTCCAGGAAGGCTTTCCAGGAAGATGAGGTAGCAGGCCCTTCAGTCACAGAACTCCAAAGTGGGACTCTGGCTGTGGCCAGCTTCTGTTCATCACAGCGAGAGCACAGGGACCAAGAGCTGTTGACCTTGCTCCTGAAACGCACCACCCTGCCCTTGTGTCCTGGCCCCTGCCAGAGTTCCACTGGGGCCCTGACTTTACTGCCAGAAGGTTCTCCCAACCCTGCAGGACCAGATTTAGACAGGAGACCTAAGGCTGGATGCTTTTGTGGTGGTGTCTTCCGCCTGACAGGGCCCTGCCACAGAGCTGGGACTGTCTCCACTCCTGAGAGGACCACTGCACTGTCCTCTGCAGGCTGCTCCCCACCCCCAGGAAGGCCAGCCATCCCCAGGTGGGCCAGTGAAGGAGGCAGGTGCTGCAGAACCAGTGGCCTCCTCTCCAGACCGTTTGGCCAAGAGACCCTGAGGGCTAAGGGCAGGCGGTGGGGCACTAGTCCCTCCCATGCTCCCAGCCTGCCGACGCTGCAGGAGGTACAGCCACGCCCAAGCACCTCCACATTCACCCCACTGCCCGGCAGCTGCTTCAGGGCCCCTGGGAGGGGAGCTCCTGGGCGGCTCTTCTCAGAGCTCACTGAGGGGGCTTCAAAGCCAGTGGCATGAGCATAGCACCCGCTCTGAGGGGGAACTGGACAGATAGAATGTATTTGAGTGTTTGCTTGGAGCTAGTAGCTGGGACCCCCAGGAAAACCTCAAGACAGCAGGGAAATCTGGAGATAGCCTGGCCATCAAAGATCCCTTGCAAGAAACCAAGAATGGCCCAAAATGGGTATGGGAGAGGAACAAATTGCCTATCCCACACTCAGGACAGACATCTCTTCCTCCCCTCCCCAACCTTAAGAAAAATTAAATGTCATCTTTTTCCTGCCACTGAGTTAAAGCCACCTTCCACTGTGGCTAATTGCATTTGCTCTCTCCCTGTGAACAGCGTGAAGACAGGACCTGTGTCTCTTACTGTCAGATCCCCCAGCAATTAGAAACACCCCCCAACCACCACTCTCCACTGGTAAGCAGCCCCTGGGAACCCTCAGGACTTAGAGAGCTAAAGCCCAGGAAGATGTCAACTTCCTGATGGTTCTGACACCATTGCACCTTCAGCACCTGACAGATGCTCACAAAACCTCTGTGATGGGAGAGACAGCTGCACCCAGAAGTCCCAGTCCCCAAAACTTGACCTAGGAGGCCCTCCTTACCGTGACCTTCTCCTTTGCTGATGAAAATATTGTGGGTATTTTGTGAGGTTTTCTAGCCTTGCATGGGGGTCAGGGACAGTGTTGTCACTTACCTCAAGACACTGTTTCCAACATTGTCTGCACATGGCCTGTGGTCCCCGGGAGAGTAGGCCCAGGGAAGGAGGCCTCCACATGGGAAGAGCTCCTGGCCTGGCCATCACTGATCAGGGGACTTGTATTTAGTGTGCCAAGTAGTTCTTTCACAGATGGTTAGACCAATGGTGAGAACCCTGGACTTTGACAAAGGAGGCAACTTTGGATAGACAGACCCTGGGGCAGCCACCACTTGCCATTCCCAGCAGGTCAATATTCTGGAATGAAACACCCCTTGGTGCTTTGGAGATACCTGGGTTTCATTTCAGCCTCAAGCTTCTCTAGCATTCTTCTAGGCCTCCTTCCCAGTTGAATCCAAAAACTATGTCCGTAATAGCAGAGACACGTAGCTCCCAGAAGGAAGCCAGGGCCATTGCTCAAGCAGCACAGCAAGTTAGAGGCCACCCTCCAGTGATGGAAAGGCTGTTCTCAACCCCTTATCTTTGCACTTGACCCTGGAACACTAGAGAAATGGCCTTTGTAGCTTCCCCACAGCTCACCTTCTCGTCCCCAGTAGAGGCCACCTAGGCCCTACCTGCAGAGGCTCACCATCTCAGCCCTCTAGGTCAAGGTAGTTTTTGAGCTTCCCAAATGGTTGCAATGGCCAAGTTTAAGATCCCCTGTACAGACCTTGAACTTTCTGGGACTAACTGTTGCTAGCCAGGGATTTACGGAGTTCAGGGTTTCAGTGTAAGGTCAGTTTTGCAGGTAGTGTCCTCTTGTTCCTTATTTGCCAGTCAGTGTGCTAGGTGCTGAGCTTAGAGAAACAGTGCAGTAGTCCTTTGCTCCAGAAAATCACGGCCGATGGGTGGAGAGCCTAATGTAAGCACACAGTTGCAATGCAATGTGCTAAATGCAATGCTAGAAGTATTCATGGAGTCACAGGGCAGAGGACCTGACACTCTGGAGAAAGGTGAGACAGGGAAGGCTTCAACCAAGAAGCAATGTCAGACCTGTTTTGAAGGATGAATTTGAACCAAATTCTAGTAACAGGGATCTTGTTTTACTCATGGTGACTGTCTTATTTGCCTAGTGCTACTGTAAAATAAATGCACAGTGGGTGGCTTTAGAGAACGGAACTTGATTTTCTTATAGTTCTGGAGGCTAAAATTCCAAAGCAGTTCTCAGACGTGTTAATTCCTTCCTTCCAAGTGTTTCTTGGTTCCTTGGCTTGTAGATGATCCTCACTTGGCATCTGTCTTCACTCTGTGTGTATTTCTGTGTCTAATCTGCTGTTTTTATAACTCAAAAGTGATGAGATTTAGAACCCACCCTACTCGGGTATGAGCTAATTAACATAATAAACAAAACTCTCTTTCCAAACAGGATCATATCCATGGGTATAGGGATTATGATTCCAATACATTTCGGGGGGGGGGGCACAATTCAATCCATAACCGTGACTCAGGCTCCATTCCAATAACTAGGGGCCCAACTGCTCCCTCCCTTCCATGGTCCCTGCCTCAGTCTGCTCCCTCCCTTCTGTGGTCCCTGCCTCAGTTCCCAGCCAATATCTAATCCTGCACCCTGGCCAGGCTCTCAGAGGATGGGGTCCTGCCTGAGTCCCTATAAGCAGCTTCCTCTCCCAGCATCCCCTTTGACCCAACTGCCAGGCATTCTCAGTGCCAGCCTCAACTATGGTTCTGACAACCTGCAATCTTCCTGCTGGAAATCAGCTTGCTGGGCTAAAAAGCATACTTCACAGGGGAAATGAGAATATCTCCCAGCAGTGGAGGCTAGTGACTGACTTACTGAAGAGTGGTTTGGAACTCGTAACTAATCTGAATTCCAAACTGGAGAAGAGGGCTATGGCAGGGCTCCTATTGGTAGGGGGGCTCCTATTGGTAGGGGGCCTCCTATTAGTAGGGGGCCTCCTATTAGTAGGGGGGCTCCTATTGGTAGGGGGGCCTCCTATTAGTAGGGGGCTCCTATTGGTAGGGGGGCTCCTGTTGGTAGGGGGCCTCCTATTGGTAGGGGGGCTCCTATTGGTAGGGATATGCACCACAACCTTTCAGACAGCAGTCAAAGGCAGAGGACTGGTGCCATGATTATGAACCAGAAGGGAGAGTTTATATGGTATTTCAGCTCAGGTTCTGGCAAGGTTTTCCCTAGAAACGCTCAAAATTTGATAATGAAGTAATTGGCAAAGTAAGTTAAACTGTAGCGTAAAGATCCTGAGTAGCATAAATCATTTAGCATGATTTGCTGTGTGTTAGTACTGTTCAATTGGCAAAAGTAAAATTAGAAAACAAAGCACAGAAGCAACAAGACAATTCAAGGCCATGAATTCGAGGAGTGTCCTCGTCTTACGTGGACCATTCCCCCTTGACACACAGAGAGGCCTTTGTCCCTTTGTTCCTGGTATTAGCTCGGAAGTTCCTCCCCAAGTAGGGGTGGTCTTCATTCTAGCATCAAAATCACTGACTCGGGAATGACTCTGGAGTATTTTTGAACAGCGGTCAGCTTTACAGTATAAATCACAAACAGATGTTTGGCCTTGCCCAACTTTGAATAAACTAACAAATCACTGTCTCTGTTCTTAATTTTGATTTGTCAGGGTCCTTTTTCTCCACTTCTTTTTTTCCTCTATGAGAGTAACATATTAAACTCATCAGGAAGGACCTTCGGAAGGCCGTAGTCCATCTTGCCTTGAAGCCCTGGTGACAGCCCCACACGAGGGGCTGACACATACATCTTGGGTGCTGGTGCAAGTCCTGCGGGCCATGTGCAGCCCTGTGGGTGGGTGCCCCATTTCTCAGCCCTCCAGCCACCACAGCGCCCAAGCTGGCGCTAAGCTCACCTTGAGGCACAGGACTATTTCAGCTGCTGTGGGGAGAGGGACGGGGCTGGTGGGGGGAGAGGGACCCCTGGTGTCTCTATATTAATGTTTGTTAATAAGGAGTTATTTCTCAAAAGATAGGTCACTTTTCCAGTTGTCTTATAAACAGACGTACATAAGTATTTCAGAATCACCTGAAAGGACAATTAGTCATTTGGGCACTTGAGGTGAAGTAGAACATGAGAACATGTATAGGACAATACTTACTTTATTTTTATTTTAAAATAAAACATTTCTATTTATTCCTATTTTTATTTATTCAGTGCCTAATTGTAGCAGCTTCCAAAGACATGCCAATAAAGCAGTTGGTAGAACCGTGACTTCACTAGCTGCTACCATCAAAATATTTTAAAATTAGATCCTAGTTGATTACGGATGCTTGTGCTAAGCGCCCAGACCAGACATGCTGGCACGCACGTTCTCTTTGTAATGGCTTGTTGATGAAGCGAAACAACATGCGCTGCGCAGGGAGAGCATGCGCAAGAAGACCTTCTTTAGGTTTTCCTTCTTCCAGAGAAGTGGACAGGACCAATCCCTCTAGTCAAAAATGCCTTGTCCAGACAAGTCTCAGCATGAGCTGGGCCAGGAAGGGCACCTGAGGGCAGGGCCTCTGCAGAGGGGAGGCGGGAGCCACGCCAGGGGACAGGACAGTGGATTTGGACGAGGCACAGGTCTGTGACGGCTTGACCCAAAACCCCAATCTTAAGGGAAACTGTTCTAGAAAATAAAGGCCACAGCATGTGGTTCAGCCCTATTGTTTCCTTTTCAAGGCAACTACAAATGCTAAAAACTGCATGCTGTCCTTTATCCCGCTAGCCAGGTAAGCACAGGAACTAGTTACAAAATCGGATCTGCATACTGAGGCCAAGCTATGCTGCTGCTTTATCACCCCTGTGCGTTCCTGACTGAGGGGGTCTCCAAGGACACAGGACTTTCAGTGCCAAAACCCAGAGAGTCCCTAGAAAGCCACGTGAATGGGTAACCGTAACTGCTGCTGCCTACACCAGCACCTCCCACCCACCTTGGGCAGCAGTGATATTTCCACCCAGGGACGGATCACCCAGTAAGCAAGGTACGCACGGGTTTACTTGTGCTTATTTACAAATCTGTACTGGACAGTTTCATCTATTTTTCACCACATCAAAGATGTAGTGAAATCCACGTGAAATTGCACACTACAGATTAGTAAGTAAACGCAGTTTAAGCCCGTGCATACCTTGCTTACTGGTTAATCTGCCTGTTTCTACCATATGGCTCACACTCCACCACAGAGATCTGCATTCTTGCCTGGATGGCCACTAACCAGTCATGCAATCTTGCTGAGCGCCTTCGGTTCTCAGCCTTATTTGTATGAAGAAAGTGGCTGAGCCCTGCAGTTCTTGGTCTCAGTTCCAGTGTCCGATGTGGTGGACTCATCCGGTCCCTTAGGTCCACACAGAGCAGGCTGCCTGCCTCATCACCACCTTGAGGGCTCAGGTGTCTTTAGCAATCGCCTGTGGCTACAATGTGTTCTGCTTTCTTTCAAAGGCAGGAGCCAGTCTGTCCAGGCACATGGGTCTTTGAGCCAGAGACCTCCCATTTTGAGTTTGTCGGGCCCCATCCTGGACAGCCACCAGCCCTTCATGCAGACATCCACATCAGTCCACGAGTTGGCCCCAAGGCTGTCCCGCAGCCAGCTTTCCTTACACAACTCATCTGCGTCCTTGCACTCTCAGCCGCCGCCTGCCACCACGATGGGCCACCTGAGCGTCCGTGAGCGGGCCGAGGCGCTGATCAGGTCCAGCTTGGGCTCGTCCACCAGCTCCACCCTGAGCTTCCTTTTTGGCAAGAGGAGCTTCTCCAGTGTCCTTGTTATTTCCGGACTTTCTGCCGCAGAGGGCGGCAACACCAGCGACACCCAGTCATCCAGCAGTGTCAACATCGTGATGGGCCCCTCGGCCAGAGCCTCAGGCCAGGCCACACGGGTAAGGACACACATCAGCAGGCTGGAGCATGAGCAGGCTAGTAACACGGGTGCCCGGCCTGCGTGTTTCTAACAGGTGACGCCTGATGAGGCCCATCCATCTGCCTGCAGACTTGCATCACCTTCCCAATAGGGCTCCCAGAGTGAGAAACAATCAGGTCATTAGACCCAAAACAGCTGGGCAGCGCTCTGACCCAGGCAAGCTATAGAGAACCTGTCCTGTAAATAATAATACCAGGCACTGCTGGAGGTTGCCCGATGCAGGAGTTGAGCAGAATTGTCTTCCTTAGTGTTGAACCTGGGGATGGGAAGGGGGATGCCCTCCACTCATGCACACAGTGGAAGCAGGTTTGAGTTCATTTTCTTCTAGCATTCTGGTCTAAGGGAGAGGAGAAGAAACACATTCACACTGGAGGTAGGTTATCATTGATTCCTCTCCATCCAGTTTAATTTTAAAACTGGTGAGATGCCTAGTACTTATAGATTATTTCAGCACTAGAGAAAGAGTTTTAAGGACTTCATGCAAATAAACTGTTACTTATCCAAGACCCCAAGCTATTTGACATCACATGAGTACTAGTGCTTCAAATATACATACACACATGCATACACCCACACACACCCACATATATATATATATGTATATATATATATATATAAACCAAAAAGAACTCAAACCCATTGCCGTTGAGTCAGTTCTGACTCATAGTGACCCTGTAGGACAGAGTAGAACTGCCCCATAGGGTTTCCAAGGAGCACCTGGTGGATTTGAACAGCCAACCTTTTGTTTAGCAGACGAAATCTTAACCACTTTGCCACCAGGGTTTCCATATATATATATAGATACATATACGCATAGAGAGATAGAGAGAACCAGGGTTTCCCAGTTCTTTTGTATAAAATAGTAGGGAGGGAAAAGTAGGAGGTAGCATTAGGGCAAAAGTAGCCCTCAGATTTGGTGTTTCCCCATGTTCCTTTTGAATGTTAGCACATTTTCTGCCCAAGGTTTGTGCTCTTCATCAAGCATGAGTGTAACACCCTGCTTGCTTCCGGTCCTGAGTGCAGTTACTGGGAGGTAGAGAAGGGTGGCTACCCTGAGCCTTCTTATCTGTCACTGTTCTCTGCTTCCATGGACAATGCTCTCTCGATAAATGTACCTCCCTCTCCCATGGACACAATACAGCTGCTGCCTTCAGCCACCCTGACACCAACACTGAGACACACTGGCCTGAAAGACCATGGAGTTCAGCAATGGGGATCACTTGGCAGGATCATGGCTTCCTGGAGTTCACAGGCCACCTGCCAAGAGGAAGGGAGCTGATTTCTTCCAGAGTTTTAATTTAGTTAGATAATAGATTCCTTGGGTGGTGCAAATGGTTAACACACTCAGCTGCTAACCAAAAGGTTGGAAGTTCAAGTCCATCCAGAGGCACCTTGGAAGAAAGGCCTGGTGACCAACTTCCAAAAACCAGCCATTGAAAACCCTAAGGAGCACGGTTCTACTCTGACACACATGGGGTCACCATGAGTCAGAGTTGACTTGAGGGCATCTGGTTAGTTAGATAACTAAGCTGATAAACTTCCCTTTTTTCTCATTTCCTCAGTAAAAATGTACAAATCACACCTTTTCCCCACCTCCAGTCCCTGGTGGCGTAGTGGTTAAGAGCTACAGCTGCTAACCATAAAGGTCAGCAGTTTGAATCCACTGATGCTCCTTGGAAACCCTATGGGGCAGTTCTACTCTGTCCTATAGGGTCGCTTTGAGTTGGAATCGACTCTACGGCAATGGGTATTTTTTTTTTTTTTTTTTTTTTTGTAGCCTTTGTTTAAGTCACAGTCTTAAAGGTGTGTGTGGCTCTGGGACCCATCCCCTTCCTTCTCTTCAACAAGGATGATTAAGTCCATGGGACGATGCGTGTCCGGAATAAAAAGGCCTGGTGCTCCTGTTGTGGGCCAAAACTCAGGAACTCAGCATCCATGGCAGGGCTAAGTGTGTATGAAGTGTGTATGACAGGACACGTGCCATTCAGGCACACAGTGACCTTTTGCCAAAGGCCATCACTTGCCAACATACCCAGACTGTATGAGAAAAGGCCTCTTCCAGAGGCCCCGGGTAGACTATGGCTTCTGTCCTTTCCTCGAAGGCCTCTGTAGTCTGAACTAGCCTCAAACCTGGCCTCATGGGTGCTGGACACAGGGGTGCTTATGCTCTGGTTTAGCTCCTCTGGGCAGATAGGGGTCCTGACTAGGAGAAACTGGCAATGGGCATGTGCTGAGCTCTCCGCTGCTTCTCTTTTCTCTTTGGAAGCACTTCTCAGAGCCGTGTGAACCCGTCGATGCCACAGAGCAGGGCCAGCTCTGCGATGGAAGTCTAGCTGGGGCCGTGGCGGAGAACCTGGGGGTGATGTGCCGAAGAGCGAGCCAGGAGGACATGGGGCTGGACGATACGGCCTCCCAGCAAAGTGCTTCAGACGAGCAGTAACGGGTGTCTGTCGGGAACGGGCCGTGCTTGCAGGAACTGTGGGTCCGCCACAGTGCCCACCTTTATCATTCTCCCCTTGCCCTCCAAACTGAAAACAGCAAATGTCATAATCTATGTGAGAGCTGTTCTAGAAAGCAGGCTAATTTCAATCTCAGGTTCCTGAAAACTTCTCATGTGAGGAAAGAGGAATCACGTTCAGAATTTGAAATTTCAAACACAGCCATTTACTATCTTAAAAACAACCAGAGTAAGTAGAGCACATGGCTGACTCTTTCCTGTCCCGATGAAAATAAGACAACTGCACGCTCAGTGATTGGCATTTTGTACATGTTACTATGAAAAGAGACGAGCAGCAGCACTCATTGTACATCAGCTGGTAAAATGCACTAAGGTAACTCTAAATACATTTCCAGGAAAACCTCATTTCTTTGTGATTATGCAGGTGTTAAGTAAGCATACAACAGTGACATCTTTACTACACGATACGTGCTAGTGCATGCAGTCATGTCTGAAGTATTCTGTGAAGGCCAGGATACAGATGACACGCACTTAGAATCTAACCATCAGCGCATGGAAAGCCTTCTCAGACCCCAGTGCTCGTGGATTGCAGTCCCATGATCTCCTTCGGGAGGCCAAGCCTTGCGCGCCCAGCACTCCTGCGGGTTTCGCGGAACGCATGCTTGTTTTCCGAGCCCGGCAGTCCTCACCGTGTCACCCGACACTTGCACACACCGTTGTTTTTGGAATTAAAATGTTTCTACCTACTGATGTGTCCGGTGGTTCCAGTTGTGCTGAAACCGGTGTCACTTCTACAAGTTGATCCTTTATTGCATGAAATTTGGGCAAATCCTGAGACATATATTTTCCATCTTAAGACTTCCACTGGATAGAGCAGAAACCTGGATTCTTGTGCAAATGAGGGAGGGGAAGGGGTCCTGAAACACAGTCCAGGAAGAGTACAATCATGGATCTGTTGAACTCTTTTGCAAAGATAATGGTTAGAAATACTCCATTCAGAAAACAGTCATAAAAATTTCTTCAAAGTATCTAGGATTTGGAAATTTGGAGAGAAACAAAAGGGGAAAGGTATTGCAGTGGCATCACTGGGGGGGTGTGGGGGTGTGGACCACACTAGGTGACACTGTCAGGGGGGTGACACCAAAATGACTGTCTATAAAATTTTTGTGCAGTTTCAGCAGAAATTATTATTTTTTATAAAAATATCCCTAGAGTTAGTTATAACAACAAAAACATTTTTCATAAGACCAGTTTACATGTATCAATATACCCACAAGGCTACAATTCTATGCTAATTTACTTTTTGAACCTTCTAATGCTCTCGTCAGAGCTGGCCTGATTACCCAATTACAATGACGCTTCAAATCACATGGTTTTCTCTGCACGTGCTACGAGCACACAGTTGTTTTCATTGCTGCCAGTGTTTTCATAGTCACTGATTTTGTCAAATTTTCTGGTATTTTAGCTACAATATTCTGGTAATTAGTATTTGTGAACTTATATGTCAGTAACTTTATTGAGAATGAAATAGTAATTAAAGGAAAAGAAGGAGTGATATACGGGAATTGTGATTTATGAGTAACATTAGTACAAAAACCATCACTAAGGATTCTGTATGGTCTGATATGGGAGGAGGTCCATGGGGTGGGTGACACCTACCCTAGTGATGCCACGGGAGTATTGTAGAGAATCTCTTACCCCTTGGAAGCAGATGGCCATGATTTTTTTGGTGAAGTAAGAATTAGCTATTAACAGCAATAGGTGTCCTCTATAACCAGAGGCAGAGTGCCATTATTCTCGGATGAACAATCCCTCGACATGTAAACTTGGTTCTTTCTGATCCATATGCAGGTGTTTGTAATGAAAGGAGCCCTGGTGGCGCCGTGGTTAAGAGCTCGACTGCTCACCAAAAGGTCTGCAGTTCAAATTCACCAGCCACTCCTTGGAAACCTATGGGGCAGCTCTACTCCATCCTATAGAGTCGCTGTCAGTCAGGAATTGACTCGACGGCAACAGGTTTGGTTTTTCTGGTGTAATGAGAAGGTGATATGACCTCAGTACTGTTCTCTGAGTTGGCCAAACCAAAGTTAGCTGGCGGCTCTGAAATCCTCCCAGGCAACTGTACACCAAAGCCCTGAGAACGAAGCACCAGTCCCTGTGCTGTGAGTACAGCCCCCTCGTAAAGGGTGTTTGCTTAAATTCAGTAACAAAAGTAAAGACCAGTGCCTGGCAGCGAGTCTGCAGCACAGCAAATGCCTCCCTTGGGCATCTGAAGCAAGGACACAGAAGCCGCTGTGCTCCACAGAAAGCAAAACTCTGCTGAAGGAGCTGGAAGCCCAGTCTGTAGAAGATGGCAATGACAAAGGACAAGTCCAAAGTGCGTCAGTTGATCCTGTATCTAGTTCCACTAGAGAGAGATGCCTGAACTGCTTCTTCAACTGCTCAATCTGTTTATTCCGCATCCTTGTTCTTGCTGAAGTCTTCTGGGGGGTGGAGGGAGGAGAAAATGTACACGATTTATCAACAACAGTTAAGACCAAATTCCTCCGCTATAGCAACCCTCTGCTTTCTTTGTATTATCTACGGAAGAGTCAGGCCATGTGGGTACACGCTTACATCTATAGGTGTCGTACCTGCAAGAGGGAAACAGCTTGGCACGAGTCACTCCAGGGTTCTCTGTGACTGCCTGGCCAGCAGCACCGATGCAGCCACAGCTTTTATATGACCATTAGCAATTTGTGAGCTTGTTCACCTGGTCCTCAGCCAGTCAGCTTTTATCGGAGAGTATTCTTTGTAAAATATTGTATTATTAGCCTAGTTTAAGGGAGACATTCCTGAGTTGACATTTTTAGCTAAGTTATGCATATGTTCTGCCAGCATAGAGTTAATTTCTGCATTTGGGCACTGAACAAGATTGTTTCTCTAAAGATAACATAAAAACTGTAGCACTTGGTTTTCTATAAATCATGTAACTAATTTCGCATTACTGATTCTAAATTCTGCACTATGCACAGAAACCATCTGTGTTTGGCAAGTAGTTTTCAAAAATCATTAGATGCTCAAACTTCTTTGCCCACAGAATGTGCCTTAGCAATGCCTATTTATTTATCCCTCTCCTCTCAAGCCACCTCCACCTCTTTGTGTCTTGTCCCAGATCATCATGCTAAAGGGACACCAGCATCTGCCACTGACACACATTCACACAATTCTCCCAGACACGAACCTCTACGCACACTCAGGCAGAAGAGACTAGAAAGAAGGAGCAATGCCTAGCCCATTTTTTTCTGGGCTACCATCGCTGCCCCCTTTGATTGTCTGAGGTCTAGGAAACAGTGAGTGACTGAACTTTCAACTTCGGTGGGAACTTCTTGTCAGCCACTGTGGTGAAATGAGTTCCTTTGTGTAGTTTTTTGCCTTGGTTCTTCGGAAAAACAGCTTGAGAGATTTTTCCCCACCTTTGCCCTAGTTTTCTACCCCAGAGGGTTTGTTACTTTTGTCTAGGTGGATTGATATTTCCCAGGTAAGCTGTAAATAACTTGTGTTTCATACTTTTTGTCTGGTCCTGGGCTGCAGTCTCCCCTGTGACTGGTATGCACCTTGCAGGGATGGGTTAATAGACTATGCAAATGAAGTATCTGTAGCCTCCTATGCAAATGAAGTGTCTGTGGCTTACCAAGAGGGGATTGGTCAGTTTGTGGCCCTTGTGGGAGGGCCAGGCCTTGAAATTGATGAGGGGTTTGTGTATATATGCAGCCAACCCCACAGAGGTTTTTGAGATGGTAAGAATCAGGAAGAAACAGAAGGAAGAAAGAAGAGGGAAGAAGCAGAGAGAGGAGGAACCTCCTAAAAGAGCTGTAACACGGGTCAAGGTGAAGATAGTGAGGCCCAGAAGGCACCCAATGGCAGAGTTGATGGTAACAGACAGCAGGGCCAAGAGGAGTCTGTCCTCAGAGGGCCGAGAGGAGGCCTGCACAGCCGAGAGGAGCTGAGAGAGCTGTCCTGCACTGAAGGAAGATTTTGTCTACACGCTTCCTGTTCCTGATCCCGAGTTGTACCCTGTTACTTCCTTAATAAACCATTTAACTCTAAGTATGGTCTGTGAGTTCCATGTGGCCATTGCAACAGATTATCGAACCCAGCAGAGAAGTAGAGAGTGCCCGGGGGAGGATGGCTGGTGTCAGAACTGGTAAAAAGTTGGAAGGCGGCACGATGTCTGACCTCCACCTCATGGAAATCAGCCTTGGGCTACTGATGATGTTGATTCTCCTCTCTCCTCCTAAAGTTAGACAGGTTCAGATGCTACTATTACTACTACTACCCTTACCATTTCACAGCCATGTAGTCAACTTAACAGGCTTGTCCAGCTTCTGACATGTGCTTACTCTTATTCAGAAGTAAAAAGAAAGAAAAACAATTTTTAAAATACTGTCTTAAGCACTCACTGGCTGGCAGCAGTATCATCTGCTAAGGAAGGGTAATGGGCAGAGGAAAAAAATGTTTTAGCAAAAGCATTCTCCAAATCAGTTCTGTCCCATCCAATCATATTGTTCTGCCTGAAATTCTTCATACAAGCAACTCACATTTCAGAATTGTGCTTTTCAAAATGAATCACTCCTTGAAATCTGAACTCATCTAGCTGTTAGATAACTTCATTTGTTTGAATGGTGGGCATTTCAAAAGTAGGCATATAGGAGAACTCCTGCTCTCTACCTGTCCCTGCCACCCACCCCCCACCTCAGAGGTGGTACCAACATGCACACAGGTGCCTAGTTTGCCCTCCTCCAGCCACGGCTGTGCTCAGGAAGGGAGTGAACCTGTGGCATCTTCTCCTGATCCTCCCCTGTGACCTTATCCTTTAAGTCCCAGCTGAATGCTCCTTCCAGAGGCGGTGCACACTGGCCCTGCATTAGTTATTTGTGACTTCATCTCATTTTGCATTACATTTCATTTCTTGAGATACAGGGATTGTGTCTGACATCTTCATACATGCTCCCTGATCATTCTGTTTGACAAAGTTAACTCGATGATCATTTAAGGACCCTGCACAAAGCAGACACTAAATGCTCTTTGGATTTATACTAGCCATAGTTTATCACGGCTAAATGTCAACTCTGAGTTCTGGGGGCATGTGGTACGCTGAGAATAACAGGAAATGACAGAAAGCCCAAGCAAGGCCGCAGCAGGGCACAGTGGAAAGAGCATGGGCTTTGGAGCTATGTAGACTTAGGTCCAAATCCATCTCAGCCACGGCCAGTCCTATGATCTTGATCTAATTTATCAGTAAAGGAGAAAGCATACACAAAGCTGTGGTACCCCACAATGTTAGAGGTCACTCCTGTTTTACACAGGGAATACTTTGCAGGAGGCAGCTGTACCCTTCCCCTCATAAGCACACCTGGCTTCAGCTATAAGCCCCCTCAAACAAGCTATTTTACCTTTTTTGAAATAATTCCATCAGCTTTCTTTCTAATACAAAATTAAAGTCTACCGAACAGTCACCAAAAGGACCAGAAGGAGGTGCACGTTCGCTCCTTCGGCAGATGTGGGAGGAGCCTTGTAAATACAGGGCGCCTTCTGGAGGTGGAGTGAAGGTCGCTCCCTGAGAGGTTCCCTCAGCTGGGGCAGAGAGCTCCACTAGGCCCAGGGCCGGCTGTCTTTGGTATCTGTACGAATTCCCTCAGCCTCCCTCCCTCCCTCTCTAGTTCTCCAGAGGCTGAGAGAGGCTCACCCAAAGGCTGAATGGCATGAAAGCAGCTCAATGCGTGGGGCAGGCCCCAGGCTCCCTGATCGGGGTGGGTGCCCCACTTTGTCAAAAGCCTCTAACCACCTTACCGTGCTGATCCATAGAGAATACACACACGCTCAGCCCTCCTCCTGTCCCCGGAGACATGAGCTGGGAGTCACCTCAACACTGTCAAACACCAGGAAGCTTGGCACTGGCCTCCCTGAACAAACACAGCCACACTGGACAAGTAACCTTTTTAAAGGATTAGTTTATAATCTTTGAGCCTTTCTGTTGTGATCCCTCAAGGGGCTGGCAAATCCAGATCCAGCTTCAGAAAGTTACTTTGGAAAGACGCACTGAGAAAAGAGATGAATCAAATGTAAGAGCCTGTCACAGCCGCAAATCACTTTCTTGGTGTATAGAAGTGAGTTACTTTCTCTGTCCACCGCATCCCAGTGCCCTGCTCATGGGATAGCTTGTCCACATGTGCTAACTGGCTGAATGCCTGTGTCCATGGCTGCAGACAGGGAGACATGCCCTGGCATGAACAGCAGTCGAGTCTGCTGCTAGCCCTAGTTGCTGAAAAATCTTAGTCATATATCATGACCCAAAATGACCTAAAACACTAAACTGTTTCTCACTATAGTACTTAGTTTCTTAGTGCTGCTATAACAGAAATACCACAAGTGAGTGGCTTTAATGAACAAAAATTTATTTTTTCACAGTTTAAACCAAAAAAAAAAAACCAAACCCATTGCCGTCGAGTGGATTCTGACTCATAGCGACCCTACAGGACAGAAAACTGCCCCACAGGGTTTCCAGGGAGCAGCTGGTGGATTTGAGCTGCCAACCTTTTGGTTAGCAGCAGTAGCTCTTAACCGCTCATAGTTTAGGAGGCTAGAAGTCCAAATTCAGGGCACCGGCTCTAGGAGAAAGTTATCTCTGTCGGCTCTCAGGGAAGGTCCTTGTTTCTTTTCAGCTTTTATTCTTCAATTCCTTAGTGGTCGCCATGTGGCTTGTATCTTTCTCTGTGCCTCACCTGCTCTTTTTAATCTCAAAGATGATTGGCTTAGGACACATCCTACACTGATACGATATCATTAAATAACAAAGTTCTAGTCCCAAACAGGATTACATCCACAGGTATGGGGGTTAGGATTTACAGCACGTACTTTTGGGGGACAAATTCAATCCATAACAAGTACCACTGATAACCTGGAGGGGAGCTTTTATACTTTATGAGTTCATATCAGAAATCAGGATGAACAAGTTACCCTCAGTCTTTTCTATTTTCACTAAAGTGCCAATGCTACAGGTTGAATTTTAAATTTTTATAACATTATTCTTACTGGACCCAGTCCACTGCACTGCTGCATTCTTAATGGAATTGTGCAGAGTGGTGGTGATGGTTTCCATTTGTGGTGTGGCACTGCCATCCTTTGAGGACAGCCCTACCCGTTTTCTGGATGGTGAACCAGGCACAGACAGGTCCAAGAACATGTCTAAGTCAACGCAGCCCAAGTGGACTCTGATCTGAACCCACGTGGGCCAAGCTCTGTCCAGTACTTGCTGAATACCAAAGGACAGGAACACTCTGAAAGACCATTTATCCCGCCCACAAAAGGACTCACGAGGCTGCAGCCATCAGACTGATTCTGATATTTATTAAGCAATAAACAAATAACAAGAAATTGGGATGGGGGTTAAATGGTTTTCTTTTGGAATAATCATTGTTAAAATCCAATAACTGTTACCACTTTAAATGGCATAAAACTGAAGCTGCACCTGGAGAAGAATTTAATTTTCATGACATGCAAAACTGATTATGCAGTGAACTTCTTTTTCCCCTTCCCCTGAACACATTATAAACTTCAATGGGGGCAAATTCCATCTAATACTCTCAAAACCATTTCTCATTTCATAATTAACCAAAATCATGCACATGACTGCAAGAGGAAATAAACAGAAATCTTTAAGCGTAAATAAACCATAATGGATTGCTAATCTTGTATAGTCAATCCAGCATTAAGGCTAATTTGATCTTTTAAACATTTTATGGAAACCAGCTGGCAACCTTTCTCTGGAAAATCCCACAAGGATTTAAGACCTTGGTGATCATAAAGTTGAGGCATAAAACCCTGACAGGCAAAGTGCCTTCAGGCTCCCCTGGAACCGTGCACACTTCTTCACATGCAGAAAAGCAGTAACGCAAATCATCTTCACTTCCTGCTGCTCTGCACACACGTCACGATATCTTGCAAAAGGCTGTTTCTGTTTTCCTTGGTAACCTGTAGGGCAAAGCAAGAGGGTGGGTTTCAGGCTTCCTTTCCTTTCCTTCAGTCCTCTGATAGGTTATACTCTAAGAGAAAGGTTGGGAAAGGGTGAGGCGTGCTTTGTGACGGAGAGAGAAAGCACCTCTTCACAAGCACCCTGAGAGCAGGACAGGTGTCCTCAAATCCTACCCTCAGCTCCTGCAAAGCAACAGCTCAAAGAGTGAAAGCGGGTCTGACGGCTGATGGAGCTCCACAATTGGAAGGCACTCCAGGGTGGATGATGGACACACAGGGTGAGGCATGGCCCTGACCACCACCCGCCATGAACGGAAGAAACTGCCTGAACGAAAGGAGGGGGAGAACAAGCTTTACTAGGCGGACCACTAAGAACAGGGATTAGCCAGAATTCTGGAATGCTTCTAGGTCACTCACTCACTCTTTTCTTCAGAAACTTAGAGAATCTGAGTCTGGCAGGGGCATCTGACATTAGGCTTCTCCTCATTTCAAAGATGTAGACCCTGAGGCTCAGAAAGGTGAAGGACTTCTTGAGAGATCAGAGGTAGCGGATGATGGCGTAGAGACTAGAACTCAGGTCTGCGGGCCCCAGCACATATTCTCTGTAATTAATACCATTACAAAACAAACAGAGGTCAGGAAAGGCGTCCCATAACAGCTACATGTGGACTTAATTTTTACAGATGGGGCTGGAGGGTGGGCCCACCAGGTGCACAGTGGGAGAAGGGCACCCAACAGAGAGAAAGCCCTGTGCAAACAAACACAGTAAGAGTAGCCAGTGGCTCTGGCAACTTCAGTGAGTCCAACATGGCTGCACTCTGACCCAGGCCAGATCATGCTGCGGGCTGTACACTCCGTGTGCCCAACAGAATGCCTGGCATCCAGCAGGTACTAAATGTTCAATGAGGAAATGCACTGTGGACTTTGTCACTCTTGGTCCCCCTCAGAAGAACACTTGGACTTTCTTGTGGGAGACTATGCCTGGGAAACCAGCCCCTGGCCAAGGAGGCAAGCTACGCCCTGGAGCTTTACTGGAGAATGTGAATCCTGAATGGAGTGGCCTAGAGAGCAAGGGCTGCAGGCGACCCCTGACAGTGCTGACCTGCAGACACTGACCACAGTGCTCACTGCACTGCAAGCTGGAGCAGTGCTAGCTCCTCCTGAAATGAGCATCGTCAAATTTTCCTTCAGATGGATGAGAAACCTCCAGAGCCTTGCGAGATTTTTTTGTTGATGTTTTAGCTGAAATTAGCTGGAGTCAGTTTCTGTTGCAATAAAGGAAATCCACCCAACGTGGAACAAAGGCTGGGGGCAAGGTGAGGGGCGGGCAGGCGTCCAGAGAGTCCGAACTTAGCCAGGCTCACCGGGAGCTCCCTGATGACTTCCACAGCAGTGCAGGGAAAGGACTGGCGGAGACAAGCCATCAGGTTCCTTCTCTCCCACCCCAGTTTCACTAGGAATCAAAATGCTCCGCTTTCCTAGTCTGTGAGAATGTACTGTGTGGCTCAAGAGCAGAATTCAGAGACTGATGGACATCATGGGGCTGCTTCTCCTCTCTCAACTTTCATCACCTCCTTTACAAATGCAAGAGAGAGAGAGGATAAGATGTAGCGCTGGGGGAGGAGGGATGTACAGGAAAGAAAGAGGGAAGCCGAGTAAAAGGGAGATGGCGGCCCAGAAAGGCAGGGAGGGGAGGGAGCCCTTGTCCGGATGGAAAGCATGAACTCAACTCTGCAGGGGCGAGTAGCAGGAGAGGGGCCAGTACGGCAGCACCCCCTCAAGACACCACTGCCCGGAAAACCCAAGGAGACACCTGTTTCTCCGTCCAACTATTAAAAGGAGCTGACACAGATGGATCTGAAGCCTCCTGGGCATTTGACTTCACCCGTTTTGCACTGAGCAGTTCTGACCTTGCTCAACTGCAAATGTAAGCTGATGTGACGAGAAACACATGAGCTAACAGCAACCGCAGCTTGCGGTGGGGACAGGCAAGGAAGGGAGACTGTCTTCCTCTGGGTCATTACTAAGGCATCATTCCTATTCTTCAAGTCCCTAAGCCCTTTGATAGAATGGTTAGGGGGAGTATGAAGGGAAGCGAAGGGTGAGACGGTGGAGAACCCCATTACCAAAGATACCATTCCTGAGAGAAGGCTGCTTAAGTACCACAATGCCAAGGCTTCCAGAGAAGTCATATTTAACGGGAGTGAGGCTAAGAGATGATTAAAAAGAACCCCCCAAAAGCACTTACATGCCACACAGACACATTTCCATATTTCAAGGATGTGGCCCATCATATTCATCATCACCATAATGAGGACCACCCTGACTCACTACACCGAGCTTTCACAGTCCTAACACATCTCATTTCAACTGCACGCCAGCTCTGGATGGTTAATACGAGAAAACTAAGGTGCAGGAGAGAAGCAACATTTTTCAGACAGATGAGCACCCAGTGCCCTCTGCCCCGCCCAAGGCATCCTCTCCCTCTGGAAGCTGCTGTCTGCTGACAGATGCTACATCAGGGACTCTGCCTGCCTGTTTCCCAACACTCACAGTGTGCTCCTGGAGTCTTGGTTAGATATAAAAAGAATACAAATAAGATCTGGAAGAGAAACATTTTCTCATTAAAAATCAATACACAGAATGCAAAAAATACATTATTAATATTTTGCTACCCCCCTTTGATTTCCCTAAAATTATTTCTGAAAATTATCCAGTAAGATGTTTATGTGAAACTGTCTACAGTGTTTAGTTAATATGTTCCTTATACAGCAAGGACAAACTCTCAAATGCAAGAGCAAGTAAAACATCATCCATCAACCTCAGAGCCCCTTCCATGTATGTGAAATTCTAGTCTATTTTTCATTCAATCACCAGAATTTTGGCTTCAGAAAATCTTTCCTGATGAGGTTAATTAAAAGCGGGAACTAGGGTCTGGGAACAGAAAAGGGAGGCAAGGAAGAGCAGGACAGGAACACAGTTGTTTTCCTCCTCCGTTCTTTCTGCACTAAAGCCTTAAGAGAAATACAAACGCTCCCTGCCCCTGCCCAGAAGGTCCCTGGGTGGCGCAAACAGTGTGCTCTCAACCACTAACCTCAACATTGGCAGTTCAAACCCACCCAGTGGCACCATGGAAGAAAAGCCTGGCGATCGGCTTCCATAAAGATTACAGCCAAGAAAACCCTAACGGGCAGTTCTGCTCTGTAACACACAGGGTCAACTACGAGTCAAAATCAACTCAACTGCAACAGGTTTGTTTTTTTGGCCCCTGCTCAGAGGCGGTAGAGGGGTAGGTCTAGCCATATGTCTCCTGGCAAGAATTGTTCTTGAAGATTACACTGTGAGCTCCATGAGGACAGGGGCCGGGTCTTAATCATCTTGTTATCTCCAGAACTTACACAGTGTCTGGCACATGGTATGTGCTCAATAAATATTTATAAAATTCTCTGAGCTAAAGAGGGCCTTTAAAATCTAGCTAAGTAGTTAAACAAAGATTACCAAGGCTCTGACCATCTTAAGCATCCAAGCTCCTCTCCTTTTCCTCCACTTCCTCCTTCAAGAACCACCTCTTTCAGGACAACTCTCCCTCCTCCTTCTTCTCATACACAGCTCTACCTGCTCTGCCCCAGATTTTAACTGGCCCATGATCTGTTTTTCTTGAGGGAAGGGAAGATGCCTCATATGTCCCTGGTACTATGGATTAAGTGCTAGATGCAAAAGAGGCTCTCAAAAACACTCAGATATTTTACTAAACATTAAAAATGAAAAGAACCCAAGATAATATCTAATCCAACCCCTAAATTTTCAGATACAATAAATGGAGTTCTTCATTTAAAAAACAGCTAGAAACAGCACACAAACCCCAAAGGAACACAATAAATACAATAATGGGGAATCGCTTATGTAACTACCACAAAGCTAATCACTTTATTTACAGATCATTAGAAGCAATGATTACCTTGCCTTGAGAATAATCTCCAGTCTTAGAGAGAGGAGAAAATGTGGTATTATCTTAAGACACAATGCTTATTTCTAAACATAACAGTCAACAGGCCTCAATCCTTCCTTGGGACTTTTAGATTAGATTAGTTTGCAGAGACAGCCAGTCCCTGGAGGTTTAACACTAGCAATTTTCCAGCCTTCCAGCTTTGAAGCTATCTGACCTGAAAATTAATTTAGTTTCATGATCTTTCACTATTCAATGTCTTTGTCTTCACATAAGCTACAGAATCACAACAAAAACTCTAACATGGAGGCTGTGAAAAGACAGAAAAGGCAACATAAAGCCCTAAAGACAAAGGCCCCAGAGACTCTGCAAGGTCATTGAGAACGTGACTCCTGTATGGCTCTCAGATCTCAGCTCAAATGACGTCTCCTTATAGACTTTCCCTCATCATCCTATCTAATGCTGAACCCTCCCCACAACTGCTGCCCCTAAAACTACCACATTGTTCTCATTTATTGTCTTCACTGCATTTACCAGTATCTAAAATTGACTAATTTGTTGGTTTACATTTTTGTTATCCAGCTGTTCCGTTAGAATGTAAGCTCTGTGAGGACAAGGACTTGGTAAATCTTATTAACCACAGTATCACCAAAACTCAGAATAACTTAGAAGACTTAAAAGACATAGCATACAGTAGATGCTCAATCAACATTTACCAAATGGGTAAATGAAAAAACAAACGAATGTACACATTTTTCTAAGTTTCCATGTTTTTCCAAACCCCAGCATACTTTGCAGACAACGTGTGGACGCCCCACTAAGGCCACCAGGCCACGCCGATGTTTTAACCAGTGATGTGAAATACTCATTGATGTTCTGCAGCCAGGGCGCACTCTCCACTCTCCATAATAGGAGCAGCCCGGCCTGCCTGACTTGGTCACCCAGCACTTGCAGAGCCAATAAGCTTTTAAACTGGGGGATGAAAGGTGAGGGGCATAAGCAGAGCTCAGCAAAGAGCACAGCTATCAATGACACGAACAAATTAAGGTGGAACAGGGCAAAACAATATCCAACCAAGATGGATACAGAGAGATAATGGAGACAGACAGACAAGTATTTAGGTAACGCGCCAAAAGCTACAAGAATCCCTTGCAGCTGGCTCAGTCAAGCCAGTGGTTAATATGCCCGCAGTACTGCTCTTTCACATGCGGTCTACAGCGGTGCTTCTCACACTGCAGAGGCATTAAGAGCCACCTGAGAGCTTGGTAAAACACAGATTACTGCGCCCAACTCCCAGAGTTTAATTCATTAGGTCACAAATGTGCACTTCTGAAAAGTTCCTGGGTAACACTATACTGCTGCTCTGCAGCCCTCATTTTGAGCAGTAAGGCTCTACAGCTGTGCTGCCCAATGCAGCTGACACCAACCACATGTGGCTACTGACCACCTGAAATATGACTAGTGTGACTCAGGAACAGAATTTTAAAAAAATTTTTTTTAATTTTAATTAATTTGAACTTAAATAGCCACATGTGGCTGGTGGCTAATGTATCAGACAGCACAGATAGTACATTTCCGTCATCACAGAAAGTTCTGTCGGACAGTGCTATTCCTGTCTACTGGACAGAGCTACTCGTGAACTGTGCTACAAAGTTAAGAGCGGAAAGCTGAAGCAATTAATGCTGCCCTCCGCTGGCGGGGTAGGGGAGGGAGGGAGAATGTCTATGGAGCAAGTCTTCACCTGTAGCATGTGGAAGCTGTGCTTCAAACCACAGCCACAGTCTCCTCTTGTCACAAGCAGAAGTGAGTCAGTTTAAAAGGGAAAACCTTTAAAAGAAAACAACACATATACGCCTCTGTATCCCGACCTGATACCTGGAGCCTGATCCCAGTATGTACTGCCCTGGAAGAAAGAAGCTTAGAACAAGAGCATCAGTCGCTCGGGCAGTTCTGACTGCCTAAGAGGTCATGGTATCTGGAGGGAGAGGCGAAGGAGAATGCAGCCAGACCAGCTGACAGGGCAGGCAGCTCCCCCCAGCGGTGAGTTTGTTTTTCACCAAGTAGAGGTATTACTAGATTTTAGTGCTGTGAATTCCTAGAGAGTCAAACTCACCTATACTCCAGAATAAGAGGAAACATAATGGAAATTCAGAGCCAAGGATTTATCTGAGCCACCTGCTATTGTAGGTTATCTGCACCACTTTCACACATATGGAAGACTGGCTGTACTCACACTAAACACCTTGACGTCGCTTCTGTTTCTTATTTCTTCCACAAGCGCCAGTGGTTTTCCTTTAGGGACTGGTATTGTGCCAAGGACTACGGTCCCTGGGGTGGACAGTGTGTGACGAACAGCTTGGATGAAAGTCTGGCTGAAGAGCTCCATCTTCCCAATTTCATCGATGACACACACTCTCTGCCCTGGGCCACTGCTGAGATCTGCCTGAGAATAAGAAAGACATTCATTTGGACGCCAAAGTCACAGTAAGCTGATGCCCTCCTGCCATTAGTCACCAAGCAACAGTCATGCCAGGGTGAGTCAACTACTCTTTGAAAGTCAGATCATTCTCATAGCCACAGGGAGCAGGTAACTTGTGAACTAACCTAGAAAGGCTCCCTTAAAGATGTAGCACCTGGGAAATTAAATTCCCTGTGTGGGGTAAAGGACCTAGTCTTACCCTAAGTAAGGTGGCCTTTGTCCTTGGTTCTGGAGGAATAACCTTTGAAATAATTGGGGTGCCTTGGTCTAAGACTTCCAGGCCACACCTGAGAATCTGTGCTGGCAAGTGGGGGCTGGCCAGACCAGAAAAGACTCACTTGGGAGGCTGATATAAACTAGCCTCAGGAGGCATGATTTAGCCTATCATGCAGGACTGGCCACAAAAGCCCAGAACACTAAGGCTCAGAGGGCTTCCTGTAGGCAAGAACATCTGCTCTCGAAGGGTAGCCTGTCCCTTGGGAAATGGAAGCTCTGTGCTGGGAACCCTCTCAGACCTCACCTCAGACCTCACACCTCCAGGTATATCATGTTTGGCTATAATAAACCTGTAAGTATGCTAAACTTTCCATGAATTCTATGAGTCATTCCAGTGAATTATCAAACCCAAAGGGGCAATGGAAGCCAGCAGGTAAAAAAGTAAGGGTGTTGTCTGGACACCTGAGCTTGTGGCTCGCATCCTGAAGTAGTGAGAAACTAGCCCAAATCATGGCCAGTAGGTCAGAAGGCTGGAGTGTCGTGTGGACTCCCCAAACTTGGGGCTGGCATCTGCTTATTTGGCAGTCTGAAGGATGTTGTCCTCTTAACTTGTGAGTTCTGACCTTGCTCCAGATGGCAAAGGAGAAGTGGGGATGTGAGGACTGGATCAACCTCAACATTTTGGGAACTGGATTCATGCTGGTCCTTAACGTGCGCCCTGAGCCACTCAGTTTCTCTGGCGATTTTTACTCCTCCAGAATGGCCCCAGTAATAACCAAGCTTTGTATTTATATATACCAAGAAAATAAATGGGGAACCAAATGCCTCAGGTTTAAAAGAAATAAGACAGCAAGCCTGGACACCCTTATTAATAATACTAGCCTCTCTTTTTTCAACTTTAAGTTGGAGTCTTATGAGGTTCTTTGTCTGTAGGGCAAGAGATAACTGCTGCAGGCAGATGCCTGTGTATTTCATAATCTGGGCTATGAGGGTTTGTGGAAAGAAGTGAAAACTGGAAGGAAAGGTGTCTTAGTTAAAAAAAAAAAAGTAAGGATTGTGCCCTTTAGATCTCAGATTCCCTTTCTAATGACTTTATACAAATTCATTCCCTTCTTCCTTAAAAATCCCACACTCCACTTAGCTTCAAACTTGGCTCGTGGAAGTTGGGGAGAGAGCGAGCGGACGTGGTAGCCGCTGCCGCCATCACTACCACGGGATAATAAGCTGGGATCTACAATACATATTGAGCAACTATGGAAGACTATACCAAAATAGAGAAAACTGGGGAAGGTACCTATGGAGTTGTGTATAAAGGTAGACACAAAACTACAGGTCAAGTTGTAGCCATGAAGAAAATCAGACTAGAAAGTGAAGAAGAAGGGGTTCCTAGTACTGCAATTCGAGAAATTTCTCTATTAAAAGAACTTTGCCATCGAAATATAGTCAGTCTGCTAAGATGTGCTTATGCAGGACTCCAGGTTATATCTCATCTTTGAACTCCTTTCCATGGATCTCAAGAAATACTTGGATTCTATTACTCCTGGTCAGTTCAACGATTCTTCACTTGTTAAGAGTTACTTGTACCAAATCCAACAAGGCACTGTGTTTTGTCACTCTAGAAGAGTTCTTCACAGAGACTTAAAACCTCAAAATCTATTGATTGATGACAAAGGAACAATCAAACTGGCTGATTTTGGCCTTGCCAGAGCTTTTGGAATACCTATTAGAGTATATACGCATGAGGTAGTAACTCTCTGGTATAGATCTCCTGAAGTATTGCTGGGGCCAGCTTGCTATTCGACTCCAGTTGACATTTGGAGTATAGGCACCATATTTGCAGAATTAGCAACTAAGAAACCACTTTTCCATGGGGATTCAGAAATTGATCAACTCTTCAGGATTTTCAGAGCTTTGGGTACTCCCAATAATGAACTGTGGCCAGAAGTGGAATCTTTACAGGATTATAAGAATACATTTCGCAAGTGGAAACCCAGAAGCCTAACATCCCGTGTCAAAAACTTGGACCAAAATGGCTTGGATTTGCTCTCGAAAATGTTAGTCTGTGATCCTGCCAAATGAATTTCTGGCAAAATGGCACTGAATCATCCATACTTTAATGATTTGGATAATCAGATTAAGAAGATGTAGCTTTCTGACAAAAAGTTTCCATGTGTTGTATCAAGAACAGGCAGTCACACTTTTACTGTTAACTCTATTTTTGTCTTGTATACTTTTCTTTGTTGTAAAACTCAAGCTGTACTTCATCTTCTAATTTCAAAAGTGTAACTTAAAAATGTAAATATTGTTCTATATGAATTTAAATATAATCTGTAGATGTGTGTAGATATCACTATAACAACTGTTTGTTACTACAATAAAATTATAAATCTAGTATTGAAAAAAAAAAAAATCCCACACACAACAGGTATAGCAGGCAGCCTCCAAAAGTCTTCATGATCCGGGAGCCTAGGATTCACACCCTTGTGTGGTCCCCTCCCACAATGTACCAAGGTCTATGTGACCAACAGAATACAGCAGAATGTCAATTCTGAGATTAGGTTACCAAGACTGCCGTTTCTGTCTTGAATTCTTTTTCTCTCTCTCAGATCACTTGCTCTGGGGAAAGAGAAATGCCTTGTTGTGAAGATACTCAGGTGGTCTATGGAGAGGCCCGTGCAGTGAGGAACTGAGGTCTCCAACAACCACGTGAGTGAGCTTGGAAGTGGGTCCTTCCCAGTCGAGCCTTCAGATGACCGTGCCACAGCCAACAACCTGACCACAGCCTTAGGAGAGACTCTGAGCCAGAACCACCCAGCCAAGTCATACCTGGATTCCTGACCCTTAGAAACTGTGGGAAAGAACAAATGTTTGTTGTTTTTATGCTGCTAATAAGCTTCAGGGTAATTTGTAATACAGCAACAGACAACTGTTGTCTCGGGAAAGTCTTCCAAGAGAAAGCTGCTATGACTTTGTTGAATCTTTCCACAGGAGGAACACAACAGAACACATAATAAGCACTTCAGTGACTGCTGAATGACAAATACGTTTTATATTTTTGTACGTAATGATTATTTTGAAAACTGTATGTAAAGCTGATTTACAAAGTACTGTTCACTATAGTTCTTACCAAAACCAAAAAAACCAAACCCACTGCCATTAAGTCGATTCCAACTCATAGCAACCCTAACGGGCAGAGCAGAACTGCCCCACAGGGTTTCCAAGGCTTTACTCTTTACAGAAACAGACTGCCACATCTTTCTCCCATGGAGCAGCTGGTAAGTTCGAAATGCCGAACTCTGGGTTGGCAGCCGAGCCCTTAACCACTGCACCACCGGGGCTCCTTACAATGACATCAGTGTATTCCCAGAATATATGTCTGAGTTAAGCTATATTTTGCTCAAATTCCAAATATCAAAACTAAGGTACAGTGTGGCTGCTGGTGGGGTGTATGTGGCAGCCAGTGACAGATGGGGCAGGCAGGCACAGGGATGGTGATCTTATCCAACAGGCGAGAGATTTTAAGCAAGGCAGAATCACAAGTTGTGCTAGAAAGACTGCTAGCTGCATGGAGTCAGGAAGACAAGTTTGAAATCTTTTGGAGTAGACAGTTTGAGACTGTGGGCTCTAAACTGGGCCAGTGATTGGAGAGTTACATTACAGCAGTGTTTTTCAGACTATTAATGGTACTCTTTTTATTATCCTGCTTAATATGTGTGAGTGTGTGTGTATGTGTATATATACATATGTTTATATTACATATATGTATCTGCTCACCAATTTCATTAGCAGAAAGGAGTCCACTGTAATTATCCATGAGTGATCTGAACAATCTCTCAAACTTCAGTTTCCGATGTACTTTATTTTTTACCTTTAAATTGAGTCTACTTGTCTGTATACCTTGTCTCTTTGTCTCTTCCTCTTACGGGCAGGTACAAGGTTTTATTTATCTTTGTATTTTGCATGGAATTAATGATGCTGCAAAACTGAGAATGGAAAGTTGAAGCAGATAATGCTGCCTTCCGTCAGCAGGGTGGAGGAGGGAAGGAGAGTGTCTATGGAATAATTCACTATTTCTGCCAGGTTTTCTCCTCAAAAGGAATGCCAAATTTGGGAGAAACAAAAAAGCTATCGGCTGTTTGTGAGAATCCCACAAGTAGGTTTCTGTCTTTTGGGGAGCAAGCCGCTCCAACTGATATGACTCTTACCAAGGAGTATAAGGAGTATTTGGGGCATTTTGCTGCCTCAAAAGACTATGACTAATTGTAGATGTTGTCATTCCGGAGGCTACCATCTAAAAGCTAAACAGAACTCTTCAAGCACACCACAATGACAGTGTTGAAAGCAGCCAATTCAAACAACAAAAAACAATATGAAAGGATATGCGTGCACGTGGGCTTGTATTCATGTGAATGTCGATGTGTGGGGTGGGCATGTCCATTAATACACACACGTAGGATTAAGGCATGTGGCTCGACACCACCACCCTTCCTGAAATTCCCCAGAGCTCTCCCGTGACAGCTCACCTACATTATCTAAACCCCACATACTTAGCAAAGATACTGGATACACACGTATACAGTATTTTCCACCAAATGCAAATGCCCACTTTCAAACCTTAGCTTATGTAAGACCCCCATGCTGCCCAGTGTTAAGGACTTTTTATTATCTAGGAACTAAAGGAATCTCAAAAAAAAGTCTGAAATTTTTAATGAAAAATGGAAGTTATTCACTCAGCTGAGAGGCTTGTC